TGGGGTGAGTTCAGTTGAAGATCTCTACTACTATATGTGAAATCAGAATTAGGTCTATTGTTTCCTCACTGACATACGGATGAGAAGCAGGAGTGGCAGATTTTGGCTGATGCACTGTTTATGGCAGATGCAACAAGCAATGACAGCTCTGTAGTGTCCTAGGTAACTCTGGATAATGCTTGTGTGCTTATATTAGTGAGAGGGATCATATGGTGTGAGTTACCAAACTTTTATCAATTCCTGGAACTATGAAAGTGACCTTCACTTGTCTACCATGTCTTGATGTATTTTATGGTTATAAAAGGGAGGCTGCCCCAGGGCTTCCCAGACCTGGTCTTGCTCTAAGGACCACCTGGTGGTTGTAGTTCTTTGTCTTATGGGCTAATTGCATGGCTCCATACCTTCCATACACCATGCCCCACGCCTCATAGACTTTGAGTCACCAATCATGTGGAACACGTGTCCCTTTGTTTCCAGGCTACTCCAGGCCTTCCTTCCTTGGGGTTTTAGCCTTCCTGGCCTATTTGCTCTGGCAGGTTCCATAGCCATGGCCCACTCTTCTAGGCTTGGCTTCTGAGCCCCAGCCCCTGCTCTACCTTGAACCTGCCCCCATCAGGGCTCAAGATAATCACATACCCCTAGGACACTAATGGGACTTCCAAGCCACCCCTCTAGGCCCAAACCCAAGCCACCAGTGTTAACATTAAACATAGAGGTCACTTGCCTGATTAACAAGTATCTCCCTTTCTCTCAGCCCCAGTTAGCTCTTTCTTGTTCCCAAACCTCTAGTGCTGCTTTCTTCCATCCTCCCTGTAGATTTGGGAGCCCTGCTGTGCTGCTGTCAGGAGCTCCACACTCCACGACTCTCAGGGCTGGCCTCCTTAACTGCCTCAATTCCAGGGCTTATATAGCTCTGCCCTGAGTCCTCTTCTCATCATGTGAACAGCTTCCCTGACTATGGGGCTATCCTTTAAACCTCTCCTTGCTGGCTGCCCATGCTGTAAAGCCTCTGCCCTCAAAGGGGATGCAGCACTCTCCAGTAACAGGGCCAGGTTTCCCTGCTACAGGGGGAAACTGAGGTTCAGATAGCTGTGGTAGGCTGCCTGTAGGAGCTCCAAAAGAGCAGGGCCTTGGGAGGGAGGTTTGAAAACCATACACACATAAGACAGCTATGGAAGAACCATGCAAATAAGCAAAGCACTCCTGCAACAGGTAGGCAGAAATCTGCCACAGATTTAAGCTTCCGAGCTCAATTAAGGGACACCTATAGCTCACCCAGGGAAGTCACCTGACCAGAAAGGGGCAGTGCCTGGGAGACACAAACCCAGGGCTTGAACCATGGCAAGCAGACTGGCCCTAAAGGCTACCAGGGAAGGAGCTCTGGATTGGGGTGGCTATAGCTGGAGCAACTGGTTGAGATCTGGCAGCAATGTGCACTGTGATCAAGGGGCTGAAGGCTTACATGAAGCCACATGCCAGGATGAGAAGAGTTTGATTTTACTGCCAGAGAGTTTAGGGTTTGATAGAGCCAGAGAGCTCAGTACCCGAGATAGAAAGTCTGGATCTGCAAGCCACATGAGGAGGAGCCTTGCTGCAAGCTGGCTGTAGCTGAGCTAATATCTGAGGCCAAAACAGAACACTTGCAAAATAGGAAGCAGTGAGAGCCCAGGGGTGGGGCTGCTTTGGTGTTCGGTTGTTGACTCTGAAGAAGGGAAGGTTTTCCTTCCTGTATAGTAACACACTCTTCTGTTGAGGTTTGCTTTACCCAGAGGGGGAGGTTTATGTTATGCAGTTGCTGGTCATTTGCATTTTAGTTATACCAGTGACCCAGGTTTGGGACTAGTAAGGGGAGATGGAGGTTCTAGTAGTGCCTGAATGGCATGTGACTGCTTTGAACCCTGCCTGGGGCTGGGATTAAGGAACTTAAGGAGATAAGAGGCAGGGCCAGGGACCCAATGCCTGAGCAGGGCCAGGGGCCCAGTGCAAAAGAAGGGCGAAGAGACCAGGGTCAGGGGCCCACAGCTTGGGAGGGGTAGAGATAAGATCCCAAGAAGATGAGATGAGGACTGGAATCTAGAAGCTAGGACCAACATAGTGGGCCTGGGCTAGGAGGCTCCAGCGAGAGAAATGGAGAGGAGGCCAAGAAGGCCAAAGCTCCCACAGGAGAATGACCGCATGATACCACCTGTGAGGCATGGGCATGGCTGTAGGGGAGGACCAGATGCCATGAATAGCCCATAATACAACAGGTGCCCTGGTGGGGAGTGTGTATACAAGCCAGGAAGGCTCAGATGACATGAAAACTGATTGAGATCAGTGGGGTCCAAGAGGGACCCACAAGTGTGAAAGCTGACTAAGACTTGTTCTAGGACTCTGGGACAGCATCCCTTTCTCTCTAAAATATATTTCCAGAAAGACATGGAAGAGTAGAATGAAGAGGGAGGAATCTACAGGGAACCAGAGTAAGACAGGATTCTCAAGGCCACCAGAGGGCATCACAGCCACCTCTGGGACTCATTGCTGTGGGGCATATCCGTAGATAATGATATTCAACACCAGATAAAATGTACAAGGGCTGCCTTTGGACACCTCCAAACTTATGTCTTCAATGATCATCACACCAGGACCCAAACCAAACTTCTCGCCTGCCAGGCTGTTGTTATCCCTTCCCTGCTGTTTGGGTGTGAATGACACATTAAAAACACCTTTGGATGACACATCAGACACACCTGAAAGTTTTGGAACACTACCACAAGCAACGGTTTTGGAAAATCCTCCAGATCAACTGAAAGATCAGAAGAAGAAATGCCAACATTCTGGCTTACGCAAACACTACTAGCATTGAAGCCATGTTTATATGGCACCAGCTGTTTTGGAAAGGACACATAAGGATGCTGACAACCAGCTCCTGAAACAGGTCCTAAAGTCCCAAGTCACCGATAGTTACCACTCTAGAGGTAGGCAAAAGAAGAGATTCAAGGATAGCTGTGATGCTTGAGCACTGAATCATCTCCAGTGGCACTATAATATATCATAGAAAATGAGGGTTGGAAAGGACTTCAGGAGGTTGTCTAGTCCAACCCTCTGCTCAAAGTAGAACCATCCCCAACTAGATCATCCCAGCCAAGGCTTTGTCTAGTTGGGTCTTAACAACCTCCAAGGATGGAGAGTCCCCAACCTCTCTGGGTAACCTGTTCCAGTGTTTTACTACCCTCCTAGTGAGAGAGTTTTCCCTAGTATCTACCTTAAACTTCCGTTGCTGCAACTTGAGCCCATTGCTCCTTGTTCTGTCATCTGCCACCACTGAGAACAGTCCAGCTCCATCCTCTTTCAAACCACCCTTTAGGCAGTTGAAGGCTGCTATTAAATCCCCTCTCTGTCTTCTCTTCTCCAGATTAAATAAATCCAGTTCCCTCAGCCTCTCCTCACAAGTCATGTGCCCCAGCCCAAAACCATTTTCATTGCCCTCCACTGGACTCTCCAATTTGTCCACATCCTTTCTGAGGTGGGGGGCATTGATATGGCAAGGCATCAATCATTATGAGCAAACTCACCTCACTGGGGAGATGGATAGATAAGAGAGATCAAGGGAAAGA